ACTGTAGCCCAGGCAGGCCTAGAACCTGAAATCATTGTCTTTCAGCTGGTCAAGTACCAGGATCACAAGCATGAGCCACCACACCCAACTAAACAAAATCTCTTTTCTTTTTCCTTTCTTTAAAAAGAATTTTTTTTTGGTTGGGCGCTGGTGGCTTACACCTGTAATCCTAGCTATTCAGGAGGCTGAGATCTGAGGATCACAATTCAAAGCCAGCCCGGACAGAAAAGTCCATGAGACTCTTATCTCCAATAAACCACTAGAAAACCAGAAGTGGCACTGTGGCTCAAGTGGTAGAGCACTTGCCTTGAGCTGAAGAGTGCAGGGATAATACCCAAGCCCAGAGTTCCAAGCCCTACAACCAACCAAAAAAAAATTTTTTTAACTTTTTGTAGCACTGAGTTTTGAACAACGCCTGCACTATGCTCAGTTATAAGCCACCAGCACCTGGCTCCAACTAACTAAATTCTTTACGTACCTTTTTTTATGTCTAGAATACTTAAAAAATAAAATCTAGGCCAGATGATAATGGTGGCTCACATCTATAATTATAGCTACTCAGGAGGTCCTGAGATCTGAGTTGTCATGGTTTCAAACTAGCCAGGCAGAAAAGTCTGAAGCTCTATGTCCAATTAACTAGTGAAATGCTAGATTGAGGCATAGCTCAAGTGATAGAGCACCAGAATTACTAAGAAATCCCTTTATATTTTCAGTTTATTAAAGCTTTTTCAGTTAGGTCTAAAACGTTACCTGATCACAATCCAGCAGGCTTCTTGCCACAAATCTGGGGTGATTTCATCATCATCTTCATCATATTGCATATCTGGGGAAAAAAAAAACAAACTACTATATTCATCTGCAATAAGATGCTACCAGGTAACATACTATCACTTGAAATAACAAAAACATATTTTGTGAGTAAAAAACAATCCTTTTATCCATTTTTCTAAAGTATCAGCCAATTACATTAAAAATAATACATAAATAACAATAATGTCTGTGCCTAATATATAAACAAGATTTCAATGTAAGTTGTATAAATTTGTAAAAATCAGGACTACTAGTAGATACAGAGACAAAGAGAAATTAAAATGAGGGTGGTACTATTCACGAGATGGAGGAAACAGGAGAAATGGCTTTAAAGGCAAATAGATGAAAACAGTAAGCTCAGTTGGGGCAATAAAGAGCCCAGGGGCTGGGAAGGTGGCTCAGCGGTAGAGCACTTGCCTTGCATGAGGCCCTGGATTCGATTCCCCAGCACCACATAAGCATAAAGAAAAAAAGCCAGAAGTGGCGCTGTGGCTCAAGTGGTAGAGTGCTAGTCTTGAGCTGAAGAGCTGAGGGACAGCGCCCAGGCCCAGAGTTCAGGCCCCATGACCTAACCCAAAAAAAATAAAGAAATAAAAATAAAGAGTCCAGCAAGACATCCCAGTTGTCTAGTAGCAGTTAAGTTATAAGGACATTTGAAGTGATAATATATTCATAAGCCACCCACTTGTAGACAGTGAAACTTAAACTATGAAGAATGATTGCCCCGAAAACAATATGAATAGTGTAACAGAATGAAAAGGTAAAGAAAAATAGTGAGTTTCCAAGCAGGGCACTGGTGGCTCATAGCTGTAACCCTAGCCATTCAGGAGGCTGAGATCTGAGGACGGTAACTGAAAGCTAGTACAGGCAGAAAAGTCCATGAGACTCATCTCCATTTAATCACCAAAAAATCTGGAAGTGAAGCTGTGGCTCAAGTGGTAGTGTACTTGCCTTGGGCTTAAAAAAGCTCAGCCCCTTGGAAGGGGCGCTGTAGCGCAAGTGGTAGAGCGCTCGCCTTGAGCTGAAGAGCTGAGGGACAGCGCCAGGCCGAGAGTTCAAGCCCCACGACCAACAAAAAAAAAAAAAAAAAAAAGCTCAGCCCCAAGACAGGCACAAATAATAATAGTAAAAACATATGGGTGTAAGGATGTATGTAGTAATTTTGTATACTTAGTTACATATTTGTTTTGTTATAAATAACACATGTATATATGCATCCTACCCAAGTTATAAAAATATTGTAACAATGATGGGGCTGGGAAAATGGCTCAGTGGTAGAGCGCTTGCCTTGCATGCATGAGGCCCTGAGTTCGATTCCTCAGCACCACATAAGCAAAAAGAAAAAAGCCGGAAGTGGCGCTGTGGCTCAAGTGGTAGAGTGCTAGCCTTGAGCTAAAGAGCTGAGGGACAGCGCCCAGGTCCAGAGTTCAGGCCCCATGACTAGACCCCCCCCCAAAAAAAAAAAAATATATTGTAACAATGAGATATACAAGACACTATGTTGAAAAATGAACTTTAGGGCTGGGGGTTTAGCTCAGCGGAAGAGCACCTGCCTGGCAAGCACAAAGCCCTGAGTTCCTCAGTTCTGGGGGAAAAAAAAATGAACTTTACAATGGGGGGGGGGGAGAATATAGTTGTGGAGGTGGGAGGGAAAGGATGGTAGGGGAAAAACAAAGAGGAGGCAACAATGCTTGATAAGAAATGTACTCATTACCTTGCTCATGTAACTGTAACCTCTCTGTACAATATTTTCACAATAAAAAGCTTATTTAAGGGTTTGGGAAGGTGGTTCAGTGGTAGAGCGCTGGCCTTGTATGCATGAGGCCCTGGGTTTGATTCCCCAGCACCACATAAGCAAAAAGAAAAAAGCCGGAAGTGGCGCTGTGGCTCAAGTGGTAGGGCACTAGCCTTGAACTGAAGAGCTGAGGGACAGCGTCCAGGCCCAGAGTTCAGACCCCACGACTGGAGCCCCCACCCAAAAAAAAAGAAAAGCTTATTTAAAAAATAAATAAAAACTTTAAACACAAAGGCAGCCAGCCAGGTGCTGGTGCCTACACCTGTAATCCTAGCTACTCAGGAGGCTTAGATCTGAAGATCATAGTTCAAAGCCAGCACAGTCAGGAAACTATGTGAGATTCTTATCTCCAATAACCCACTCAGAAAACCAAAAGTGGAGCAGTGGCTCAAGTGGTAGAGCACTAGCCTTGAGCTGAAGAGCTCTGGACACCCAGGCCCAGAGTTCAAGTCCCACAACCCACCAAAAAAAAAAAATAAAGAGCTCTAGCCTTGAGTTCAAGCCCCACAGCTGACAAAACAACAAAAACACAAAGGCACAATGCCTATGTGCCTCTGATCATACAAAATAATATTTATTGAAGTGAACTCCAGTAAACAGAAACAAGAGGCTTTTGCCTTGTTGCTATTTTCATTTTCTTTTTATCCTGTTCGTTTATGTCTTTGGAAGGGTAAGGGGAGGCATAGAAATGGTCAAAGGGCAAACAAACGCAGCAATGGTATTCAACAGACACTATGTTGAAAATGAATTATACAACTTGTGGTTGGGATAGGAGGGAAAAACCCAGAGAGTGTGAGGGAAGGGGTGACACTGTCCAAAAAGAAATGTACTCTTTACCTGACTTATGTAACTGTGACCCCTCTGTACATCATCTTTATAATAAAAAAAAATGTAAAGCTATTATTTTTTACTCCACTGAGATAGTTGCTAAAAGGGAAAGAGAATATAACGAACTTAACCTCTAGAAAAAAAGACTGAGGTGTTAAAGCAGCCTTTTAAAAGCTTAAGGTTTTCTTCTATGTTCTCCATGAGGTAGCCAGAATACGAAAAACTGTAAAGGGTGATCAGAAAAAATGGAAAGAGATCTTTAAAAAAATACAACAATACAAAGGACATGAATTCTATATAGGAAAAGTAAAACAGACACAGTAGCCCTGTTAGCTCAAATACAAGCTCGAATTGTCCCATCTTGTGAGGATAGAAAGTTTAAAGGCCACCTTTCAAGGCTGAAGACAGGATAACGGGAATACTAAAACCCGACCTCAATACACTTTGTCCCAGTGTATTTACAGTCTCGCACAAGGTTTGGCACAAAATTGATGCTAGTCAACAATAAATGGACTGTGGCCCTAGGGGAAGTAAAAGGGGCCCTTCACTTCAGACGGTCCGAACAGAAGCCATTTAGGTTCCACACGCTATCTCCAGGCCGTCGGGTGAAATCAGAGGTAGCAGAACGAGAATCCACCTGATTGGCGTTCCCGACAACCTCCTCTCAGAAAACCCCGCCTGGCTCGGGCCCAGCGCGGGCGGGGGAACGCGGCTGCGGGTCCCGCGGCTGCGGGCTGGGGAGGCGGGCCGCAGACCCTCCACCCACCCAGGACCCCTCGGCTTCCCCGCTGAGGTGGGTCGCCGCACGGGTGCCTCGCAGGGGACACCTACCCTCGTCCGCGTCATACATGTTGACGGGTTCTGAGGCGCCAAACTCGGGAAAGCACAGAGAGAAAGGCACACACCACCTCCGGAAGCCGGAGCCGGAGACGACGTGACTTCCGTTTCCGACGTCCCCAGAATCCTCCGCGGCTGACACCGAAGGTCCCGCCTTCTTAAAACCGACGTGAAATCGGCGCCTGCGCAAAAGGTGGCGCGGTGAGAGGGTGAGGCGGCGCCAGGGGTGGGGTGGGGCGGGAGGATTAGCGCAGGCCTTCGAGTGACGCATGCGCAAACTCAGGGGTTGCCTCCGGCTTGGGCCAGCCAATGAGAGTTTGGATCTGTTTTTCAGTGTGGTTGTTGCACAAATGATGACACCTGGAAAACACCTGAGCACGTTTATTACCGGAAGATTTCGCTGTGGCCGTGAGCTAGTGGCACTTAATGCCTTTATTTTTCGCTCTGAGAAAAACCAAAAACTTTTTACAGTGTGACTTTTTTAAGAGCAACTTCATGGGGTGCTGACGGAGCCTACGGGTGGGGGGGGGGGGGGAAGCACCCACTACCGGACTAGTTATGTCTGGGTCCTCGTCGTCTTAGGTTAAGCTAAGGGATTTCATCGCGAGAACTCCAAATGACTCTCGGGAGACAGATACAATTGACGGTCCCCAGGTACTCCTAGACTCATCCCGGCGGCCCGTGCGCACGCGCCGCCTGGCGCTCACGTGCGCACGCGCCGACCGGCCCTGCCCGGTCCCCATGCTGCCGGCGCTCCTAACGCGAAGGCTGCTCTGCGGCCTGGTGCGGGTGTCGGCGCCCGCGGCGGCGCGCCCAACCCTTGCGGGTCCCCTCCCAGAAAGGAGGTGCGCGGCCGCCTCCTCGTCCCAGCGCCAGTCCTTCCCGGGCCGCGGGCTTCCTCCTGCCCCCACGGCCTGTGAAGACTCCCCAGGAGGCTTCGGCACCGAGGAGCGTTTCCTGTTCCCCGAGTATGTGGTGGAGCCGGCGTCCACGCCGACCCCGGAGGAGGAGCTGCGAGAGCTGCAGCAGCGACTGGAGGAAGAGGAGCGACAGCGACTGCGGCGGCGGGAAGAGCGGCTTCAACGCCAGCTCCGCGTCGGCCGCCGTGCGCACCCGGGGCCGGAAGCTCCGGCCCCGACGGTGCCGCCCAGCGGCCTGTACTGCTCGGGCTGCGGGGCCGAGCTGCACTGCCAGGACCCCGACCTGCCCGGCTACTTGCCCGGAGACAGGTTCCGCCGCGCGGCCGAGGAGGGCGGCGGGCTGGCGCGCGCCGTGTGCCGGCGCTGCTGGCTCCTGGTGCACCACCGGCGCGCCCTGCGCCTGCAGGTGAGCCGCGGCCAGTACCGGGAGCTGGTGAGCGCCGCGCTGCGCCGGCCGGGGCCCGCTCTGGTACTCTACCTGGTGGACCTGCTCGACCTGCCCGACTCCCTGCTGCCCGACTTGCCGTCGCTCGTGGGCCCCAAACAGCTCATCGTGCTGGGGAACAAAGTAGACCTGCTGCCCCAGGACGCACCTGGCTACCTGCAGCGGCTCCGAGAGCGTCTCTGGGACGACTGTGCCCGCGCCGGGCTCCTGTTGGCACCTGGCCATCAAGGACCACAACATCCCAGCGAAGACAAGCCACATGATGGCGACCATAAGAATCTGTCGGCCAGGTCCTGCACGGTGGTCAGGGACGTAAGGCTGATCAGCGCCAAGACCGGCTATGGAATTGAAGAAATGATCTCCGCGCTTCAACGGTCCTGGCGCTACCGGGGCGACGTCTATCTGGTGGGCGCCACCAACACGGGCAAATCCACTCTCTTTAACACATTGCTAGAGTCCGATTACTGCACCGCTAAAGGTGCCGAGGCCATCGACCGAGCCACCATCTCCCCTTGGCCAGGTGAGACACGCTTGTCGAGAAACCACTTGGCCTAGGCATTTCCTGAATGTTCATCGTAGGCAGCCTGGAGCCATCCCTTTAAAAAATTCTCTACCTACTTGGGTCACACCTCTCTTTTGTGTCAGCTTAGTGTTTGGAAGTTCTGAGTATGTGCTCCTTTTCGATAGGAACGATTGTGGACCATTTCTCTGTTCCATTCCCTGGACACGAGAGACCCACCAGATATTTAAATCCCTTGCTCTTTTGGAAGTTCCCTTGTACCTTCTTTGTATGTTTTTCTGGAAATTTGCATTGCCTTTCAGAAATCGTTGAGAAGTGTCTGAACCTCTCAGCTCAGCTCTTCACCTCTTAAATTCATGCTTGAGACCATTATTCTATATTTGAACGATTCATTAATGCAGTATGGGCTTTGGGTTAAGAGAAATTTTGTTTTTGTGACTTTTAAGAAGTTCCTGGGGTTGGAGATGTAGCATGGTTTGAAGAGGGCTAGATAATGAACAGAAGCATTAGGTACCAAGTTCAAGTCCCAGTCTCACACAAAAAAAGAAAGGAAGGAAGAAGAAAATCCTGGGCTAGCAGAGTATCTCAAGTGGTAGAGTAACTGCCTAGTAAGTTCAAGGCCCTGAGTGCAGATGAGAGAAAAGGCAGGAGGGAGGAATAGGGAGAGAAGAAAATTTCTGTGCCAGGCTGGTGGCACCCATTCTGTTGGTTTTTTTGGTTTGGTTTGGTTTTTTTTTTTTTTTGGTCGGTCATAGGGCTTGAACTTCGTTCCCCTGCACTGTCTCTGAGCTCATTTTTGCTCAAGCCTACCACTCTACCACTTAAGCCAAAGCTGTACTTCCACCCGTTTTGTAAATCCTGCACTTAGGAGGCTGAGGCAAGAGGAGGATGGGGTTCCAGACCAGCTGAGTCTCAAAAAAAAGAAAACCAGGGAGAAGGAAGGGGGAGGGACTTTTGTGATTGTGTGTTCCTTATATGACTCTGTACACAGTCAGATCTCCCATTTTTTTCTCTACAGAGTTTATTTTTTGCCAGCTATCCTTTGTCTTGCACTGTGATTACATGTTACACAGTTACTTGTTGCCATACTCTGAATGTAGCTGACCTCATCTGAATCACAAATTTTATTTTTGTATTGGATGGCAAAGTGAAAATTGGAATAAATCAGGCTTGCACATTTTGGATTCCTATCCTGGGTTAGTTTGTGAACCAGTCTGTGAACTTGTCTGCTCATGTGTAAAGCTGGATTCATTGTATAGAATGTTGTCATGAAGGTTAAGTGACATAAATCACAGGAGCCAATACTGTGGACTCTCAGAAATGTTTCCCTCCCTTTATTCCTTTCCTTAAAACTTTATTTGTTCTTTGATATTTCAGGTACTACATTAAACCTTCTGAAGTTTCCTATTTCCAACCCAACTCCATACAGAATGTTTGCAAGACATAAAAGACTTAAAAGAGATGCAACTAAAACTGAAGAAGATCTTAATGAGGAAGAACAAAATCAACTTAATCACTTCAAAAAGCATGGTTACGTAGTAGGTAAGCCTCTCTTGGGAAAACCCTTATGGGTTGAGAACCTATAATACAGCTGTCTGAGGATAACCAGTTGCTGTGTATACTTCATTCTGAAATATAGACCCTTTAGGCAAAGTTATACTGTCTGGAAACCCAGACTACATAGGTAGTTCATGACATTGACTCTATGCAGTAGCTTTAAGTTTATTCCTTTCATTTTCAAGAATGAAAAAAAGCGAAGTCTGAAGACTTTCTTAGTAAAGACTGGATTCCACTGGGTACCAGTGGCTCATGCCTATAATCCTAGCTACTCAGGAGGCTGAGGCCTTAGGGCCTCAAAGCCAGCCCAGGCAGGCAAGTTCCTAAGACTATCTCCAATTCTCCTCCAAAATCCTAGCTACTCTGGGGGCTGAGATCTGTGAGTCTCAATTTGAAGCCAGCCTAGGTAGGCAAGTCCATAAGACTGTCTACAGTTCTCCACCAAAAAAGCCAGAAGTAGAGGTCTGGCTCAAGTGGTAGAATGCCTACCTTGAGTGAAAAAGCTGAAGGACAGTGCCCAGGGCCTGAGTTCACGCCCTAATACTGGCACAAATAACAACAAAAACCTGTGGCTCCCAACTCAGTTTACCTCAATGGACAAAGCCACACACTTGATCATTACAAGAATCTGAGTTTCACTTCCTTTTTTTGTGGGGGGTGGGGGGGTCTGTCGTGGGGCTTGAATTGTGGGCCAGGTCACTGTCCCTCAGCTCTTCAGCTCAAGGCAAGCACTCTACCACTTGAACCACAGTTCTACTTACGGTTTTCTGAGTGGTTTATTGGAGATAAGAATCTCATGGACTTCTCTGCCCGGGCTGGCTTTGAACCATGATCCTCAGATCTCAGCCTCCTCAATAGCTAGGATTACAGCCGTGAGCCACCGGGCCCAGCTTGAATTTCACTTTCTTTAAAAAAAAAAGCAGGGCTGAGAAGGTGGCTCAGTGGTAGAGCGCTTACCTTGCATGCATGAGGCCCTGGGTTCGATTCCTCAGCACCACATAAGCAAAAAGAAAAAAGCCAGAAGTGGCACTGTGGCTCCAGTGGTAGAGCGCTAGCCTTGAGCTGAAGAGCTGAGGGACAGTGCCCAGGCCCAGAGTTCAGGCCCCATGACTGGCAAAAAAAGAAAAAGAAAAAGAAATTCTATCTGGAGTCAAAAGCCTTTGAGGAGTCATTAGTAACCTCCGCATGATTTGTTCTAGGAAGAGTTGGAAGAACATTTTTGTATTCACAAGAACAGAAGGATGAAGCTGCCTTTTACTTTGATGCTGATTCACTTGCTTTTGACATGGGAAATGAGCCTGTTGCCCCCATGCACCAACCCACCAAACGAGTAGAATTGACTCCACAAGATGTGAAAGATGCCCACTGGTTTTATGACACCCCTGGAATTACAAAAGAAAATTGTGTATGTATTTAGCTTCTTTTAGAAACATTTTTTACTGTCAACTGCAGAAATACCTATCGGCAGAAAGCAAAGAGGTATACTTCCATTGTAGCTTCAGTTATGATGCATTCATAAAAGCAGTTCAGGGATGAATCCATATACCCATAATTTTTGTATTCATTTGATACACTTCACTGCAGGCCAGTGATTTCAAGTTTTGAAGAAATGGTATCACTGAAGTCTAGTTTCCTATTCTATACTGCATTTCTTGTTTTTGTTTTTGTTTTTTTCTGGTTGTGGGGCTTGAACTCTGAGCCTGGGTGCTGTCCCTCAGCTCTTCCTAGTGCTCTACCACTTGAGCCACAGCACCACTTCCGCTTTTCTGGTGGTTAATTGGAGATAAGAGTCTCATGGATTTTCCTGCCTGGGCTGGCTTTGAACCGCGATCCTCGGATCTCAGCATCCTGAGTAGCTAGGATTACAGGCGTGAGCCACCGGTGCCTGGCTTATGCTGAATTTCTTTCCAAACATCTCCATCATAAAGTCATCTAGCTTGAACTGAAAGAGTGACTTACTAACTGGAGCAATGTCACATGACCTCCCAAAGTATCCCATTTGGTCTTTACTTCCTAGTCGTATTGCACTCATTTCTCTCTAACTGATATATGTTCTTGAAAATCATATGAAAGGGCTGGGAAGGTGGCTCAGTGATAGAGTGCTTGCCTTGCATGTATGAGGCCCTGGGTTTGATTCCTCAGTACCACATAAGCAGAAAAAGCTGGAAGTGGTACGTGGTGCTGTGGCTCAAGTGGTAGAGTGGTAGCCTTGAGCTGAAGAGCTGAGGACAGCATCTGGGCCCAGAGTTCAAGCCTAGGACTGGCAAAAAAAAAAAAAAATCCTGTATGAAAAGGACATAGAACCGATTTGTCTTGGCCAGACCTCAAACTGTTTTAGACCTCAAAATATTTTAAAGTATATCAGGTAAGTATAATTTAGAATAGGATCAATTCCTTCTTGCCTTATGCATCTTTTCAATTCAGTTGCAAGATCTCATAGATAACCAATTTTGTCTTGTAAAATTTATCCTGTATCCTCTTGTTATATACTTATTAAGTCTCATACCTTTGTATTTGCAGTTTGGATTTTTACCCAAGGCATTGATTGACTCAGGTGTGTTTATTATTGCCCTCAAGAATAACTGTTGGTGCTCTGTCTTTTTCCTTAGCTATCTATAAATACAGAGTGACTAGCTGCTTTCTAATAATGTTTCATCACTACTTCACCAGTTAAATCATCCCCTTCATTTAGTCAGAGATAGCAATTACTTTACTCTTGAGAAATAGTTGGGTCAGAAAGGCAAAAGTGGAAAATTTATTCTAGGCAGAAAAATGATACTTACAAGTGTGAGGATATAAAATGTCTCTCATGGCCTAGGGATGCTTCTCTGTGACAGAATATTTTCCCAGCACATGTACAGTTGCCCTGGGTTACAGCCCTAAACACTAAGGAAAAAGAGTTCCTCATCATAGATAATATACTTCTGTGTCACTGCGGATATATTTATTTGATGCCTAGAACACCGTCTCCCAAATGGAACCAACAAACTATTATAAAATGGAAGCATTAGGTGTTTTCAGTTTTAAATAAGTGAGTCAGTCAGGAGTGAATCACACCTGTAATCTTGTCTACTCAGGAGGCTGAGATCTGAGGATTGAAGATTTGAAACCAGCCCAGGCAGGAAAATCTATGGAAGTCTTATCTCTAGTTAACCACCAAAAAGCTGGAGATGGAGCTGTGACATAAGTGTTAGAGTGCTATCATTGAGTGAAAAAGCTACAGCACAGAACCTACGCCCTGAATTCAAGTCTAATACTGGCATCAAAAAAAAAAAAAGAAAGAAAGGAAGCCAGATGCTGGTGGCTCACACCTGTAATCCTAGCTGAGATCTGGAGGATTGCAATTCAAAGCCAGGCTGGGCAGGAAAGTCCATGAGACTGTTGAGTTAACCACCAGAAAACCAGAAGTGGTTCTGTAGCTCCAGAATGTTAGAGCCAGGCCTTCAGTTCAAACCCTATGACATACAAAAACAAAGAAACAGGAAGCTAGATATGACACTATTGTCAGAAAAAAAAAATATTTGCATTCTTTTATATATAAGTTCAGTATCCCTCATCTGAAATGCCTGGGAGCAAAGTGTCTGTTTTAGGTGTTTGGGGGTTTTGTTTTGTTTTGTTGCAGTGCTAGAGAATGAACCTAGCTTCTTTTTTCTTGTTTTATGTTTTTCTTTTTTAATCAGTCATGGGGCTTGAACTCAGCCTGGGCACTGTCCCTCAGCTCTTCAGCCCAAGGCTAGCAATCTACTACTTGAGCTGCAGGGCCACTTACGGTTTTCTGGTGGTTTATTGGAGATAAGAGTCTCATGGATTTTTGCTGCCAAGGCTGGCTTTGAACCACGATCCTCAGATCTCAGCCTTCTGAGTAACTAGGATTACAGGCATGAGCCATCTGCACCCGGCTGTCCCTTTTTGAGCCATAGCTCTACTTCTGGCTTTATTTCTGGTTAATTGGAGATAAGAGTCTCACGAACTTTCTTTTCCAGGCTGGCTTCACACCATGATTCTCATATCTCAGCCTCCTAAATAGCTAGGATTACAGGTGTGAGCCACCAGTGCTTTTTCATTTTTAGCCAGATTTTTTTCCCCCTTATATCTTACCCAAGCTTTGTAATTCCTTTCTTTTCTTCTTTTTGTTTTGTTTTGTTTTTGGGTCCGGTCGTGGGGCCTGAACTCTGGGCCTGGGCACTGTCCCTCAGCTCTTCAGCTCAAGGCTAGCGCTCTACCACTTGAGCCACAGTGCCACTTCCGGCTTTTTTCTTTTTGCTTATGTGGTGCTGAGGAATCGAACCCAGGGCCTCATGCATTCAAGGCAAGCGCTCTACCACTGAGCCACCTTCCCAGCCCCTCTTTCTTTTCTTCTTGCTCCACTCTGTTTAAAAATTTCATCCTTGGGGCTGGGAAGGTGGCTCAGTGGTAGAGTGCTTGCCTTGCAGGCATGAGGCCCTGGCCTGGGTTCGATTCCTCAGCACCACATAAGCAGAAAAAGCTGGAAGTGGTGCTGTGGCTCAAGTGGTAGAGCACTAGCCTTGAGCTGAATTGCTGAGGGACAATGCCCAGGCCCAGAGTTCAGGCACCATGACTAGCAAAAATAAAAAAACTTCATCCTTGACCCAGCGTCAGTGACTCATGCCTGTATCCTAGCCGCTCAGAAGGCTGTGATCTGAAGTTCACACTTCAAAGCTAGTCTGGGCAGGAAAATTTGTGAGACTCTTTTCTCCAGTTAACCACCAGAAAACCAGAAGTGGAATTGTAGTTCAAGTGCTAGCCTTGAGCTGAAGAACTGAGGATAGCGCCCAGGCCCAGAGTTCAAGCCCCATTACCAACCAAAAAAAAAATCCTTGGGCTGCAAACATGGCTCAAGTGACAGTGTCTGTCTAACAAGTTCAAGGCCTAAATTCAAAGTCCTTCCCCATGGAGTTGGAGACATGGCTCAGATGGTATAGCACCAGCCAGTGAACAAAAGCATTAGATACTGCATCCAAGTCCTTCCTGAGGGTGGAGGAGGAATTTTTTTGCCCATAAGCTAAAGAATTCAAAACTTTCTAAGAATAACTTTTCCTATGTTTGTTCTTCTAATTAAATTTTTATTATCTAAAGATAATTAGTTAAAGGGGTTGCCCTTCAACAAATCACTTCATAAGTATAATGGATCTTAATCTTGATCAATCCCACCCCTTTCATCACTCTCCTTTTATTCCTAACCCAACCTGTCTTTTCTGTATTTTGTGGTTGGATCTTGTTCGTTCAGGTTTTGTTTGGTTGAATATTCTGGAGGAATAAGAATACTAGAGTCAGAATTTAGAAGAGGGTTCAAATATTGACCTGCTCCTTCAGTAGAGTGACCATTTTGTATGTGATGGCCCATACTTGAGCACTAAAATATGAGATCACAGATTCCATTACTTGAAGCTGCAGACTACTTCCCTGATACCCAGCAGCCATGTATTCTCACTCTTTTAAAATTCACACCAGTTTTAACATGATAAAGCTACCACAGGAAAGTATTATACAACTATGAAGTTGGCTACTACTTCATGCATGAAGAAACAATAGTAAATTGGGTTAATTTAGACAGAACATATAAATTTTATGTGAGGCTGACAGAAATTGGTTATTTGTGAAACCTAGAATACTTTCTTCATCAATATTTTCCAAGGAAATAACAAAATTTTCAGTAAGATATTCTCTAATAAAATAATGTCATTTGCTTCACAGATTTTAAATCTACTATCAGAAAAAGAGATAGACATTGTTTTGCCAACACATTCTATTGTTCCAAGAACTTTTGTGCTTAAACCAGGAATGGTCCTGTTTCTGGGTGCTATAGGCCGCATTGATTTCCTGCAGGTAAGAAAAATCTGTACCATTAAAAAGTGATTAAGGGGGCTGAGAATGTGGCTTAATGGTAGTGTGCTTGCCTAGCATGCATGAAGAGAAAAAGCCAAAAGTGGTGCTGTGGCTCAGTGGTAAAGTGCTAGCCTTGAGCAAAAGAAGCTCAAGGGCAGTGCCCACGCCCTTAGTTCAAGTTCAAGTCCCAGCACTGGGGGGCAAAAAAAAAGTTCAGCCAGGCACTAGTGGCTCACACCTGTAATCCTAGCTACTCAGGAGGCTGAGATCTGAGGATCAAGGTTCAAACCAGCCCAGGCAGGAAAGTCTATGAGACTCTTCACTAAACCACCAGAAAACAGGAAATGGCACTGTGGCTCAAGTGGTAGAGCGCTAGCCTTGAGCTGAAGAGCTCAGGGACAGCATGCAGGCCCAGAGTTCAAGTTCCATGACTATCAAAAAAAAAAGTTCGGGCTGGGAAGGTGGCTCAGTGGTAGAGTGCTTGCCTTCATGCATGAGGCTCTGGGTTCCATTCCTCAGCACCACACAAGCAGAAAAAGCCGGAAGTGGTGCTGTGGCTCAAGTGGTAGAGTGGTAGCCTTGAGCTGAAGCGCTGAGGGACAGCACCCAGGCCCAGAGTTCCGGCCCCATAACCGACCAAAAAAAAAAAGTACATAATTTTTTTTTTCTTTTTTGAAAAAGAATCTCAATATGTAGCCTAGACTGGCCTCAAACATGATCCTCCTGCCTCTGCCGCCACAATAATGGAGTAATAGGCTATATATAACATTCATCACTTGTTAATATTTTAAACCTAACTTTACACAAAGCAGTTAAAGTCTTAATAATAGATGTTCTTAATAATAGATGTACTCTTTGTTGTTATTTTGTTCTTTTAGAAGCCCATGCTGGCCTCAGACATGTTCCATTTAGCCTCCAGAATGCTGGGATTATAATTATGAATCACCATGCCCATTTGCTTTGAGATTTTTTTTTTTTTTTTGGTCTGTCGTGGGGCTTGAACTCTGGGCTTAGGCGCTGTTCCTGCGCTCTTCAGCTCAAGGTGAGCTCTCTACCACTTGAGCCACAGCGCCACTTCCGGTTTTCTAGTGTTTATTGGAGATAAGAGTCTCATGGACTTTCCTGCCCGGGCTGGCTCTGAACTGAGATCCTCAGATCTCAGCCTCCTGAGTAGCTAGGATTGCGGGAGTGCACCACCAGCACCCGGCTTGGATTTTTCTTTTTTTAATAGTACCAAGAAGTCACAGAAATGACACTGAGGTTCAAGTGGTAGAGCATTAACCTGTAGAACAAAGAGGGTCAGGGACAGCACCCAGGTCCTGAGTTCAACCCCCAGGACCAGCCAAAATAATAATAATAATAATTAAAATCCCTCAAGAAGTCTGGAGCCATCACAGTTTTAGAGTTTAATGAATTATTAAAATTAACTACTTCTGTATCATGCCCTATTTTTTAGACATGAATATAGTTTGACAATAGCTGCGGCCAAGCAGTACTTACAAAGAAAGCTTGATTTGGTTTCTCACTTTTTATTATTATTGTACCTTAAATTGTATTGGTTTTCCAGGTTTTCTTTTGTAATATGTTCTTCTTTCTTAAGGGAAATCAGTCTGCTTGGTTTACAGTTGTGGCTTCCAATTACCTCCCGGTGCATATTACTTCCTTGGACAAGGCAGATGCTATATATAAGAAGCATGCAGGTTATACATTACTTCAGGTAAGGTAGCAGGACTTGATGATTGCATGGTTCTAGTGGATATGCTTGTGATAGTCTCTTTGCTCTGCCTGTGTTATAAATCAGTTATAAATCAGCTAGCCCAACCTCATCTCGCTCTCTTTAAGGATGCTGGCTATAAAACAAAATAGGCTCTATAGGAAAGGAATGTTGGTTTGGACTGAGCCAAGAAATGCTAGAGTTTTATCTAAACTATCCTGTCCAATATAGTAGCCACTCGCCAGGTATCTTATGACATATCTAAATTTAAGTATACTAGTTATAATTAAGTGAAATTTAAGATGTGATTCCTCAGTTACATTAGCTACTTTTCAAAAGCTCATCATTGCAGAAAAGTTTTATTGAATAGTGCTGTGTGAAGAGAAGGTACAGATTTGTTACAGCTGGAGAATTGCCCCTAGCATCTAGTTGGTGAGATCCACAGATGCTAAATCTCCTGTAATGGGCTGGAGAAGCCCTCACAACAACTGGTTGAGAAAATGGGAAAAGTTTCATAGAAAAGCTTTCCTAACACAGGAACATTTGTCAAAAGCAGAAATTCAGCTGAGTGCTCATGGCTCACACTTGTAATCCTAGTTACTCACAAGGCTGAGATCTAAGGATGTTGGTTCAAAGCCAGCCCAGGCAGGAATGTACATGAGACTCTTATCTCCAATAAACCACCAGAAAACCAGAAGTGGCACTGTGGCTCAAGTGGTCGAGCACCAGCCTTGAGCTGAAGAGCCCAGGGACAGCTCCCAAGCCCAGAGTTCAAGACCCACGACTGACCAAAAAAAAAAAAAAAGTAGAAGTCAGATCTTGTGTTATTTATGGTCTTTGATTTATAAAAAGACACAACACACCTATAAGAACTAAGCTGTTTAGAGGGAATTTAACTCTCCTACATGTAAAGCCCAGTTGAGGACTATAAAGCACACTTATCCTGTCAGCAGATGATTGCCAAGTCCATCTCAACATGTGGTCCTTGGCCAACACATTATAGAGCTCCCATATTCTTCCCAAAAGATGCATGATTTTTTGTTGTTGTTTGTTTGTTGGTGGTTTTGTTTTTGGCCATGGGGTTTGAACTCAGAGCCTGGGTGCTGTCCCTGAACACTTTTGCTCAAGGCTAGTGGTCTACTACTTGGAGCCACAGGGCTGCTTCCAGTTTTCTGATGGTTAATTAGTGATGAGTCTCACAAACTTTCCTTCCTGGGCTGGCTTTGAACTGCGATCCTCAACTTCAGCCTCCTGAGTAGCTAGGATTTGTAGGCATGAACCACCAACACCCTGCTAAAATGAATTTAAAAGCATTTTAATCCGGGTGCTAGTGGCTCATGCCATAATCCTAGCTGCTCAGGAGGCTGAGATCTGAGGATCATGCTTCAAAGCCAGCCCAGGCAGTAAAGTCCAAGAGACTCTTATCACCAATTAACCACCAGAAAAACTGAAAGTGGCGAACATGCAAACATCTCCATTTTATTTCACTGGAAGGTTCCAATGGGTGGAGAAGAACGAATGGCTGAATTTCCTCCTCTTGTTGCTGAAGACATTACATTAAAAGAAGGACTTGGTGAATCTGAAGCAGTGGCTGACATCAAATTTTCCTCTGCAGGTAATTTTAAATTTGGTTTTGGAGACAAACTATATAGCCCAGGATGACCTCAAACTAGAGACCTCCTAGCTGACCTAGTGTTGAGATTAGAGGGGTGTATCATCCATGCTTAATTTGCTTTGTTGTTTTAGTTTTTTTTTGTCGGTCATGGGGCTTGAACTCTGGGCCTGAACGCTGTCCATCAACTATTCAGCTCAAGGCTAGTGCTCTACCACTTGAGCTCCAGCGCCTCTTCCAGTTTTCTGGTGGTTTATTGGAGATAAGAGTTTCACGGACTTTCCTGCCAGGGCTAGCTTTAAACCGCAATCCTCAGATCTCAGCCTCCTGGGTAGCTAGGATTACAGGCGTGAGCCACCAGTACCGGGCCTTAATTTGCTTTTAAAAAATAAGATTACAGGTTGCGGGGTAGGGGTGGCACAGGAATGAACAGAGGAGGGATGAGCAAATGTAGTCACATTTATATTCAATGTACACTGTACAAAAAATGAACTATGTAAAGAGGGTAGGGATGAGAGGCGAAAATGGAGAACAAAGGAAGGAGTAACATTGACCAGGAAGCATTGTACTCATAACCTGACTTACAGGATTATAACCACTTTATACAACTATTCAATAATTCAAGTAATTGGGGTCCGGTCATGGGCCTGAACTCTGGGCCTGGGCGCTGTCCCTCAGCTCTTCAGCTCAAGGCTAGCACTCTACCACTTGAGCCACAGCACCACTTCTGGCTTTTTTTCTTTTTGCTTATGTGGTGCTGAGGAATGGAACCCAGGGTCTCAACAACAACAAGTGGAGCTGTAGCTCAAGTGGTAGGTCACTAACCCTGAGCAAAAATTTCAGACAGTGCCAGGCCTCGAGTTCAAGCCCCAGGGCGCGCGCGCGCGCGCGCGCGCGCACGCACGCACGCACGCACGCACACACACACACACACACACACGATTATTGAATACTGGTGGCTCATGCCTATAATCTTAGCTATTCAGGAGACTGAGATCTGAGGATCCCGGCTCAAAGTTAGCCCAGGCAGGAAAGTCAAGTCCATAGGATTCTTATCTCCAATCAACCAAAAAGCTGAAAGTGGAGGCATGGCTCAAGTGGTAAAGTAGCCAGCCATGAGCAAAAATGCTTCTCGAGAGTGTGAGGAGCCGGGTGCTGGTGGCTCTCCCCTGTAATCCTAGCTACTCAGGAGGCTGAGATCTAAGGATCACAGTTCAAAGTCAACTCGGGCAGGAAAGTCCAGGAAACTCTCTATCTCCAATAAACCATCAGAAAACCTGAAGTGGAGCTGTGACTCAAATGGTCGAGCAATAGCCTTGAGCTAAAGAGCTGAGGGACAGCACCCAGGCCCTGAGTTCAAGCCCCACGACCGACAAAAAAAAAGTGTGAGGTTCTAGGTTCAAGCCCCAGTATCTGCAGAAGGAAGAAAGGAAGTAAAGGAAAAAGGGAAGGATGGGGAGAAAAGAGAAAAGTAAAAAATGTGTAATAGTCTTAATTCATTGCTGCATTTTGAGGTTTGGTTTGATGTTTATAGCAAACTGGTTGCTAACAGCATTTTGTTCTCTGTCGGATACTTCCCAGGCTGGGTTGCAGTGACACCTCATTTTAAAGACAGACTGCATCTCCGGGTCTACACACCTCAAGGAACAGTCCTGACGGTCCGACCCCCTCTCTTGCCATATATTGTTAACATCAAAGGACACCGCATTAAGAGAAGTGTGGCCTACAAAACCAAGAGGCCTCCTTCCCTTCTATACAACCTGCAGAAGAAGAAAAAGTGACAGATGTCTGAGGTTATATTCAGAATATATTGATATTGAAATTGTACTAATAATATAGCCATAAGAAAGTCCTCCTGGTTCCCACCTTGGACAATTGTTTTGTTTTTGATTTTTTGGTCATTCATGATGCTTGAACTCAGGACATGGTGCTGTCCCTGAGCTCTTTTGCTCAAGGCTGGTGCTATATCACTTAGAGCCACAGCTCCACCTCTAGATTTCTGGTGAATAGGAGATAGCAGTCTCACAGACATTCCTACCCAGGCTGGCTTTGAACAGTGATCCTCAGCTCTCATCCTCCTGAGTAGCTAGGATTACAAGTGTGAGCCACCAAGTGCCCAGCCATTTGTCTTTTTTAAAACTATTCAGATTCAGTGCTAATTGTTCCTACCCCAGACCACCATGCCGTGTGTGTGTGTGTGTGTGTGTGTGTGTGTGTGTGTGTGTGTGTGTGTGTGTGTGTGTGTGTGTGTGTGTGTGTGTGCGCGTGTGTGCGCACGTGCGTGCACGCGCACGCGCCTATTGCTATTGATAGTGGATTGGGCTTATAATACAAGTTACTTTTTGTAGAGTATGACCTAAATGTACATTAGAAGAGAGGCCTACTATATTCAAATTTTAATTGAGACTAGATGCCATTTTTCTTGGAATCTATAGTTGACAGGATAGTTGAGTAGCTGGCATATGAAACCTAGCAGGGACTCTTGGCAAAGTACACTAACTGTGCTGCATATAGTCACCCAGATATCAATGGGGAACCCACCATGGCTTCTCTATATCAAGTTGTCATCCTTTTCTAGCAAGAATGTACAGAACAACCTGGAAGCTGATGGCTCACACCTGTTGTAAACCTAGCTACTCAGGAGGCTGAGATCTGAGGATTGCAGTTCAAAGCCAGCCCAGGCAGGAAAGTCCATGAGACTCTTCTCTCCAATTAACCACAAGGAAACTGGGAAGTGGTACTGTGGCTCAAGTGGTAGAGCACTAGCCTTAAGCTGAATTGCTGAGGGACAGTTCCCAGGCCCAGAGTTCAAGCCCTCACAACTCACAAAAAAAAGATTGTACAGAACAGTGTGGAGAGTAGCAAAAAAGCTCAGCAAGATAGAGGTACACACAGAAAAAATACATTTTTAAATATCTGGCATATTTTGTACCCAGTAACAATGCCAGTAGCAACTGTCCAGTCCCATCAGTCACATACAATTGAAGCCTAATCCCAACCGGCCATTCTCAGTGCAACTGTAGAGGGCAGTAGCTTCCCAGTTTAAGAAAACTGACAGCAGAGCAGAATGCTTTTTGCGGGCTCTGTGCCTTGAGCTGGGTGCCTGGGCGCCTTCCCTGGGCTTCTTTTGCTCAAGGCCAGAACTACCGCTTGAGCCCCTGCTCTACTTTCAGCTTGTTAGTATCTGAGAGGAGTCTCATAAACTAGCTTTAAACCACAATTCTCAGATTCTCCTGAGTCCCTAGGGTTATAGAAGCGTGTCACCAATGCCCAGAATTTTTTTGGGGGGGTGGGGGTGGGGGGAGGGGCAGTCCTGAGTCTTGAACTCAGGGCCTACCTACTGTACCTGAGCTTCTTTTCCTCAAAGCTAGCACTCTACCACCTGAGCCACATTGCCACTTTTGGCCTTTTCTGTTTACGTGGAATCAAACCCAGTGCTTCATGCATGCTAGGGGAGCACTCTACCACTAAGCCATATTCCCAGCCTAGTACTACTTTTATGTATAAAAATAGGCTGTGAAGAATGTTTACAATACTAAACACAAGGACTGGGAAGGCGGCTCAGTGGTAGAGCGCTTGCCTTGCATGCATGAGGCCCTGGGTTCGATTCTTCAGCACCACATAAGCAGAAAAAGCCAGAAGTGGCGCTATGGCTCCAGTGGTAGAACACTAGCCTTGAGCTGAAGAGGTGAGGGACAGTGTACAGGCCCAGAGTTCAGGCCCCATGACTGGCAAAAACAAAAAACAATACTAAACACAAGGAAGATGCTTAGTTGAGTACTTCTGCTAGGATCTGGTACTCATTTACTCTATATTCCTCCTATTTAAACCCAGCACCATTGCTGAGCTATTCAAGTGTTCCATGCAGATTTTGCTCTTAAGATAGTTGTTACTGTTTTTAAGCTGTAGTCAGTTTCTGGTTCTTCTTAGTCTGTTCATCTGAGTCTGAAGACTTGTCTTTTATCAGTAGTCATTTAACATCAGGGTGCAGGAGTTCAAGTCTGGCCAGATAAGGAGTAAATAATGACAAGGTATTGACAACCTTCTCACATGGAGGAAAAAAAAAAAAATAGGTTGAGCAGCTAGAAACCAACTAACCAAGTTTATATCCAGTTGTTTACCTTGCTCTGCATTCCATGTTAATCATGTCACCTGTGTTTTGACCCTAGAAAAACTAAAATGTGCCATCAAAAATTTGATTCCTATGGAATTTTAGCAACTTTGCTTTGAAAAGTTAGACCCAATCTCTCTGCTTTTTTCTCTTGGAGTAAGGGTCTTAAATCTTATTCACCAGGGCTGGGAAGGTGGCTCAGTGGTAGAGCGCTTGCCTTGCATGCATGAGGCCCTGGGTTCGATTTCTCAGCACTGCATAAGCAACAAGAAAAAGCCGGAAGTGGCTCTGTGGCTCAAGTGTAGAGTGCTAGCCTTGAGCTGAAGAGCTGAAGGACAGCGCCCAGGCCCAGAGTTCAGGCCCCACAACCGGATCAAAAAAAAAACAATTAAATCTTATTAACCCTATCAAGCATTGACAATTACCCATACTTTACCTATGGAATCTATAAATTTGTCATCCTGTGACCAAGTGGGGCAGTCTGTGTGCCTGTTTCCTGAGCTCAAATGTTTCTCCTAAAATCAGCTGGTTTCCTGAAGATGACTCAGCTGGGCCTGGGTTGTTCACAGATTAGGCACCCAGTGCTCAAGCTGAGGAAGGCTGCGGCATAGAGAGCCTCTGATCATTTACCCTGGATTCCCTCCCACTTGGCTCCAAATTGTGGAGCAATGGAATCATTTCCAGTCTTTCTTAGGATGTTCCATTGTCTCTTGGCTGCTTTTCTCCTCTTGGGGATTGTTTTTTTTTTTTTTTTCTCTTAACTGTCAAAGCACAGTGCTTTAAACATGAAAAACAACAATTTGAGACTCCTCTGAATCAAACAGCACCTAGAACTTCTGCCTTTTTGGGGGGTAGGGGAAAGAAAGGGGGTCTGTCATTGGGCTTGAACTAAAGAAATGGGCATTGTCCCTGAACTCTACCACTTTGTGCCACAGCTCCACTTCCAGTTTTCTGGTAGTTAATTGGAAGTAAGAGTCATGGACTTTCCTGCCTGCGCTAGCTCTGAACCAGGATCTTGAGATCTCAGCCTGAGTAGCTAGGATTACAGGTATAAAACACCAGTGCCAGCTCTACCTGCTTTTTTATGTCTTTCCTTTATGCTTTGTACCCCTGCTCAATGCCCTGTTGTGAGAGCGGGATGTTTCAAGATTACCTTTGTAATCTATTGGAACATAACCTCAACTTTTCCCTTCATATCTAAAAGCACTTTCATTCATTGCCAGCCTACACCAAAATATTAAGCCCCTCCTCTTAGTAAAAGAATTTCATGATTAAATATTTACCTATATGAGATCCATAGTATCTCTAATTGCTAATCCTGTTTCTAAAAAGCTTCCTTTAACTTCCCAAATAATTTTCAGAACTTACTTTCTGGGTAATGTGCCTTGTGGAAGAATTTTACTTCAGTAGTCTTATTGGAAGATGCAACAGCATGATACTCAATCGTATGGTCTTCTAGCCAGTGGCTATGGCAAATCTGAGAAAACATGGGAAGAAGCTGGGTGTGCTACAGAACACATAAGCATGCTGGGGATTTTGGAAGTACAAGGCTGCCAAGATCCCTAAGTACCAGAAAAATAGGTATTCAATGCATGAATGAGTGAGTTGGTAGAGTGAGGGGATGCTTGATTAGGTAGTTGTTTTTTACTTTAGAAAAACCTAGATTTAATTTTACTTCATTATACTGACACTAACCTCTTGCAGGATTTCTTCCTTTCCTGCATTAAGGCAGTCCTTCATGGCAGTAGTATTTCAGGTTTCTTACAGTTTCTTATTCATCAAAACCTACTCCTTTGTATCTATAGATAAATAGGTAGCTATAGGTACCTATTAATGTAAATGTGTTTTTTTTTTCCAGACAGGGTCTTGCACAGCTGGCCTCAAACTCACAATCTTACTGCTTCAGCCTCCTGAGTTCTGGGATTACAGGCATGTACCACTATACCCAGCTACATTCTTTATTATACAACAGCACATACAATCCAGGCAACTGCCTTACATATATTCAGAGTTCTTACAACCACAGAAAATATTGTTACTAATAGATATTACCTGCAGTTAGATAAGGAAATAGAAGCACAAGCAACTTGCCCAGTATCACAATGAGCAATGGAATTGATTCCAGAAAACCCAGGAAGTCTAGCTTAGTAACCATGTGGGGTATTCATACTTATATAGGAAAACATACTTTTCCTTTTATGTACAGTTGTATTTTAACATATTATATATAATCAAGATACAACAAAGTCCTACCAGTAAAACTACTATACAAAATACTGCCCTTTTTAAATTTTCTAGTTACTACACATTTGCCAAGGGATTCTTCTAACTCCATAGATGTATAGTGGTAAACAAGTTCATCCCTTCCACTATACTCCCATACCACAGCTCCCACAATACTTTCTGTATATACTAAAATCTTAAGTCAGAATATGAGAACATTGCAACCAATGACGGAACCACAAACAAATCTACTTCAAGCCTCCAAAGCACAAAATTCTCTCAAAAAAGGGATGTTTTTGGTGGGGAAAGTGTTGAGAGAGGGTAGTGCTAGCTGACCTCAAGATCAAGAGCCTCCTAATCCACCTGCCCTCAGCCTCCCAAGTGCCTGGATTTCAAGTCTGCAACATCGCCACCTAAAATCCTTATTTCCTCAGAGTATATCAGAGGTATATGTGTATTTGTAGCTATATGCTGCACCATTCCCATTTTACTACAGCGATGTCTATAAAAATAAACAAGTGTCCCAACATGGTTTCCAGTCTCTCTCACTACCTCAGACAGCTTCAAGTTACTGCTTTCCTAGCTGGCTGGAAATCTTTCACACTACTAGTGTGACTGCCAAGTACCACGGACAGATCACAGTGTGAGTGGAGATACTGACCCACAGTTATTTTTTTTTGGTCGGCCGTGGGGCTTGAACTCTGGGCCTGGGCGCTGTCCCTCAGCTGTTCAGCTCAAGGCGAGTGCTCTACCACTTGAGCTACAGCGCCACTTCCGGTTTTCTGGTAGTTTATTGGAGATAGAAGTCTCACGGTCTCTCCTGCCCGGGCTGGCTTTGAACCGCGATCCTCAGATCTGCCTCCTGAGTAGCTAGGATTACAGGCGTGAGCCACCAGCGCCCGGCTTGACCCACAGTTCTGATCAAGAGCAGATACACAAAATTTGGAATGCAGACATGCAAGACTTGCATCACTAAACTATCAAAACTGACATTTGTTTGGCTTTTTTTTTTTTTGGTCAGTCGTGGGGCTTGAACTCTGGGCCTGAGCGCTGTCCCTCAGCTCTTCAGCTCAAGGCGAGCGCTCTACCTCTTGAGCTACAGCGCCACTTCCGGTTTTCTGGTGGTTTATTGGAGATAGGAGTCTCACGGTCTCTCCTGCCCAGGCTGGCTTTGAACCGTGATCCTCAGATCTCAGCCTCCTGAGTAGCTAGGATTACAGGCGTGAGCCACCAGCGCCTGGCTTTGGCTTTGTTTTTATATGGACTGTGTAGCCCAGCCTGGACTGGAATTCTCTACCTTCCTACATGTCCCACCAAATCCAAGACTTTTTTTTTTTTTTTGTAGGTCCTGGGGCTTGAGCTCTTTTGTTCAAGACTAGTGCTCTACCACTTCAAGCCACAGTGCCACTTCCAGTTTTCTGGTTGGTGGAAGATGTCTCAGAATTTCCTGCCTGCACTGGTTTTTAACTGTGAGCCTCAGATCTCAGCCTCCTGAGTAGCTAGGATTACAGATGTTGAGCCACGAGTGCCAGACTCCAAGACTACGTTTAATGCTAGGCGAAATACTAATGATATGAGAACTGCTGCCGTTTCCTTGCAAAACCAAAAACCTAGTTTGGCCCCGAATTTCTTTAAATGACTCTTGCCTTTGTCCTCATGTAGCACTCAATCCTTTCCTAGTAACTAAAAGGGAGATGGTGAGAGCAGGGTGTCAGTGGCTCACACCTGCAACCCAAGGTATTCAGGAGACAGATGTGAGGATCCCAGTTCAAAGCCAGCCCAGGCAGGGAAGTCCACAATTCTTACCTCCAATAAATCAAAAAGCTGAAGTCAAGTTGCAGCTTAAGTAGTGGAGTGCTAGCCTTGAGCAAAAAAGCTCAGGGACAGTGCCCAGGCCCTGAGTTCAAGCCCCAAGAACAGGGGGGGAAAAAAGCCTGAGACCTTACCTGAAAAGCTAAAAGGACCTGGACTGTGGCTTCAAGTCCTGAGTTCAAGCGGGTTCCCCCCACCCCCCTGGGGAGGTGGGGCGATTTGGAGAGAACAAGACATAAATAAATATAGACACAGTTCAATCCCCAGCCAAGAAAGATAAAAAGGAAGTAAAGAAGGAATAAATTTGTCTCCCTTAATTAGCATCAATAAAGACACAATGTTTTTTAAAACTTTATTTCAACATAACTATGCTTACAGAAATACACTCATATCGGTTAATAGAATGCAATTTAAGTTTAACTTATCCTACACAATTTCAACCAAAAAATTGGTACATGGTTTACAATTTTTAAAAAATTTGCAAGTTTTTTTTAATTACTACAAATGTATAAAAAAGATCCTCCGTCAAATGCTGCTAAAGAAAGCAGCATGAACCTTGAGAAATATACCTTTGGTTTGCCTCAGAAAAATAAGTATTGCACTGTAAAGTTTATAAAATTGGTGCAACAAAACATTGTTGTAATGTTACAATGCCAGTTTACCAAGTTCAGTAACTACTGGATGTGGGAGGGAGTCTATGTACATATAGGAACTGTAAGAACTATTTGATTTAGTTAATATTGCAGGTACATTGTAAATTTACACAAACCAAGATTCAGATAATTTCTTAAATCTCAACTAGCACTAACAGCTAGTTCACTTGATCTGCTGAGGTGAACAAGGACACTACACACAGTAAGTTTTTCTGACTTAGGCAATGAAGAAAATTATGTTTCTTCCTCTGCTATCAGTCCAGAAGTAGTAGCATACTAAAGGCAAGGTATTCCTTCCATTGTCAACATTCAATGGGGTGATGTAAGTTGAGGTCAACTTGGCTTTTAATTTTATCAGCACTCATAAGTAAAACAGCCCCCAAAATTAATGACCACATAACTTTAGAAATGACTCTTAAAAAACGGTCCATTGTGGAAGACATCCAGCCATAGTTCTAAGAAGCCTTTTCGGACAACTTAGACCATTAAGAATTACACCTCAATTTTTTAAAAAAGAAAAAGTAGCCCCAAAATAAGAAGCAGCTCTGAAAAAAATACATAACTTAAAATATCTTGAAAGACAATGTGAATATAATTCAAAAATAATTAAGATACATTTTCATAAGACTACCTAGGATTAAGTTTATAAACTAATCTAGCATTTCAAGTTTATCACTATTACTATATATCAATATACAAAATAACATGCTCTTATCAAAAGGGAAAAACTCTAGCTTCATTCTAGGGATAAGGGGAGACTAACAAGATTCAAACAGTTTCATGCAAGTATCACATTTTTCACATGATAGAACTCTCAAGTGGACTAGAAGTTCTGATTACTAGTAACACTTTTCATTGAAACAACTTTTCATAAGTAAAAATACATGGCATTAAGGTCCAGGACCTAATATAGGCCTGACAATCAAGTCCTCATTTTCTGAAAGAAAGGCCTCAAGTCCCAATTCAATTCCAGTAATTGTGTTTTTACAGTTCAACTTAATAAAAAGGGTTTTTAATTTTTACTGTTCTAGTCTTAAATGTTAGATTAATAGTCACTTCAATTTCCCAGAAGGCATTTTTTTCCTTTGCAGTATGAAAGAATCCACAAAAGACCCCTTCTTCCCCAGATTCCCAATCTCTAACCTGTGCTTAACAATGACTCTTTCTCAAAAATGTAAAGGGTAACTTAAGTAACCTGCTCGTGAACATAAAACTAGTTATCAGAAAGATTTGCTTAGCTGTATAATAAAGTCTTAAAACATAAATATTTGCCATTGAATCTCCTATTGAAAATGATTGTCGGAGCCTATAAGTCAACATATAAAAATTCTCACTCATGCACACAAAACACACACCAGTCTCACACAACTTGCTCATGTCTTGAAAGAATATTCTGCTTTAAATCTTTGGCCTCCCAGTCAATTCCAAATTCAACCAACTTTTTTGTGTATATGCGCCAGTCCTGGGGCTTGAACTCAGAGCCTTGGCGCTGTCCCTGAACTTTTGTGCTCAAGGCTAGTGCCCTATCACTTGAGCCACAGCTCCACCAAAAATGGTGGTTAATTTGCCTGCCTGGGCTGGCTTCCAACTGTATCCTCAGATCTCTGCCTTCTGAGTAACTAGTATTACAGGCTTGAGCCACTGGTGCCTGGCTTCAAACAACTTTTAACTCACACTTTAACTTCAGATTTACCTTTCCACCTATATACACTATGCTTGTAACTAATCTTTGATGATGTACTACCAAAATCTTTTATCTGCCTCAAAGAGATCATTAGGTAAAAAGCAAATGAGCTAGGGATGTGGCTCAACGTTAGAGTGCTTGCTTAGCATGCATAAGGCCTTGGGTTTGATCCCTAGCACTGAAGGGGGGTAAACTGTAGAGCTGCATATGGTGGTACGTAACTGTAATCCCAAGAAGGATCTCAAATTCAATGCCAGCCTGGGTTACATAGCCACACCCTGTATCAATAAAATAAAATAAGGGCTGGGAGGTGGTAGAGTGCTTGCCAGGCATGCATGAGGCCCTGGGTTCGACTCCTCAGCACCACATAAGCAGAAAAAACAAGAAGTGGCACTGTGGCTCAAGTGGTAGAGCGCCTGCCTTGAGCTGAAGAGCTGAGGGACAGCACCCAGGCCCAGAGTCCAGGCCCTACAACCAAAAATAATAATAATAATTTTTTAAATGAAAGGGAGGAAAGAGGGAGAGTGAAAGGGAGAGGAGAGGGGGAGGGGAAAATATGAAAGAATATGAAACCCAGATTATTTCAAAATAGAACATAGGAGGTCAGAATTCAAGATGCCCTATTGAGAATGTTCTTTATTTCACTGCAATGAACAACTGCTAACAATAAGAAAAATCCTATGTTGGATTCTTTCATACTCTTTGGCAAAAGGCCAAAGAACTTTTAGTTTTGGAACACATGCCTTTTTTCACAGTCCACCCATAGGAACACCAGGATAGCTACAATTCACTGAGGCCACAACTGAAGAAAGAAGCTGTCACATGACAGCCAGGACACCCACTAGTTTGTGGAGATCCCTGAGAATGAATGGTTTTTAAGTCTGTACTGTAGGCTTTTTAACCTATCCTCACCAGTTGCAGCTGTCTATCAGAACCCAAGCCAGCTCATTCTAGATTTGCCTTGTGACAGCTATGGCTTTGAAATCTCACAAGTCATACTGTGCAGAACTTGAGGAAATAATTATGTATCTTAAACTCAGCTTTGCTTTTCCAAATATCACTTACAGTTCTTTATTCAATTAAGTAGCCATATAGACACTACTATCTATGAGAAAAGGTTTCCCTCAAAGATATGACTTAACACTCTACAATTAAGAAGTAACTGTGGGGCTGGGAAGATGGCTCAGTGGTAGAGCACTTGCCTTGCATGCCTGAGGCCCTGGGTTCAATTCCTCAGCACCACATAAGCAAAATGAAAAAAGCCAGAAGTGGTGCTATGGCTCAAGTGCTAGAGCGCTAGCCTTGAGCTGAAGAGCTGAGGGACAGCTCCCAGGCCCAGAGTTCAGGCCCCATGACCGGACCCCCCCCCCAAAAAAAAAGTAACTGTGTCAGAAAAGGCTCAAATTCTAATGGTTGATATTGGAGATAAAAATTCAATGTGGAACCTAGTGGTTTGTTGCAAAATCAAATAAGCTGTGAATTTACTATATCCATTCAAAATAAATAACATGGTGAAACATATTCTGGCATAGATATAAAAGGTGAAGATCAAAATCAATCGAACCTGCATATTCAGGTTTCATCTGCTCACAAACTTTCACACACTATTATTCTGCAAAAAAAAAAAAACCAAAAACAAAAAAAGCCTCAAAGAAAATAACTGCCCTTTTGCAAACAAGCCTGAAAACATCCCTTCCCAAAGAGGAAAAAAAATAAACATGCATATATATATATATGTATATATATATATATGTATAAAGTGTTACTGTTCACACAAATGCTATTCTAGAAAAAAAATTTAACTGCATAGGTTAAAAAAAAAACAATGTGCAACATTTTAAGCCATTAAAGCACCCCCCCAACAAATCCCACCCAAATCACTGTTTTATAAAGATGATTAACATATGAACATGAAATAAGATCAAAATTCAGGAAGTAAATACCTGGACTGATAACAACATCCACTATTGGGAGCATTTTTCTTCAACGTAAATACCTTTTTCATTTCTAAAGAAATCTTAAAGTGCTAATTTTACATAAAGCAGGCAAATTCTTCAAGTAATTTGCTATTAAGCCAATTCTTATCAAGGACAACAAGAAACTAAAAGTAAAGTAAAAGAGAAGACAAAAAATGACAAGTAACTGGACAAAGCAATAGAATGCTATATAACATGCTGGCTTTCTCACTTCAACTGGCTAAGTATGGCTAAGATTTAGGTATCTGCTTGGTTTCATTACATTAACTCCATTAGATTTGCTAAAAATCAACAGATACACATAAAGTCCTAAGGAAAAGAATGTCACTTAAAAATTGATACTGGTCACTAATTAAAGCAATCTTAGTAAGTTTGCTTACTCCCATAAATGAAGTTTAAAAACTGCAAGATCTTACTAAGAAATGCAACCTAGTCCAAAGTTTAATTACTCTTGCCCTTTTGCTGCTTTTTCAAGGAAGTACACATTAACCAAATGGCGATTGAGGTGTTTGCTGTAATCTTTCTCCTTTCTAAAAGAACGATCACAGAAGATACAAACAAAATCTCCCTCAGCCACTTTGCCTGCCAAAGCTTCCTTTGGACTTTTTGTACTAGTTTCTTGTGGAACAGGCCGAGCTCCGTGTAATCCAGAGTCATCACTCCCTTCTGACATGTTGTCGCTTAGGTCACTTCCATCGTGACTGTGGATGCCTTCATCTTCATCAATTTCCTGAGTATCATTTACTGCCACAGTAACAGGAGGTGAAGCCAAAGCTGTATCAGACACTGCCTGGCATTCTTCCGTTGGAAGACACAATGATTCTTCACCAGCTGGGTCTTTACCAGGGGCATTCTCTGTTGTGTTCTGTTCAGTGTTCATTTCCTTCTCACACGTCACAGCTGAGTCAGTCTTATATTTGTCATCTGAAGTTTCACCACTTGTCATACTCAAGTTTTGTTCACTGGATGAAACACTGGTAGATTCCTTGGAAGCAGCAAGATCAGTTGGATTCTTATTCGCCTCTTCGATTCCTTCTTTTTGTAGAAGGGCTTCTTTATTTTCTTCACCTTCAGAGGATAGTTTTTGGTCTTTTAACTCTTCTCTTATGTTTTCCTTTGGAAGTGATGACAATGGTGCTAAGAGATCCTGTGTGCTTGCATTTTCCTTTACAAGTTGGCTACCTTTAACAGGCACTAAGCCAACTTCAATAAGGACTTGCTCCTGTCGTGCCATTTCACTCTGAATGTTGGACTTTTCCTTTTTATTGTCTTTTCTGGGAGATGACCGTTTGGAAACCACCTCCATCTGGAAAGGCGGCTCAATGGGATGAAGAGGCTCTGTCTGAGCCAACTCCTGAACAACCTCCATCTGTTCGGGCTCCATGGGAACAGCCTCAGGTGAAATCACCTCCATCTGAACAGGCTCCATGGAAAGAGGCACTTCCATCTGAGACGACTCCTTCTCAGTCACCTCCAGGCGAGCAGGCTGCATGGGAAGAGGCACGTCCATCTGAGCCACCTCCAGGTGGGCAGCCTGCATGGGAAGAGGCACTTCCATCTGAGCCGACCCCTTCTCAGTCACCTCCAGGTGGGCAGGCTCCATGGGAAGAGGCACGTCCATCTGAGCCGACCCCTTCTCAGTCACCTCCAGGTGGGCAGGCTCCATGGGAAGAGGCACGTCCATCTGAGCCGACCCCTTCTCAGTCACCTCCAGGTGGGCAGGCTCCATGGGAAGAGGCACGTCCATCTGAGCCGACCCCTTCTCAGTCACCTCCAGGTGGGCAGGCTCCTTGGGAAGAGGCACTTCCATCTGAGCCGACTCCTTCTCAGCCACCTCCACTTGAGCAGAATCCTTAAGAGGAGTCAGTTCCATCTGACTCTCCATTTGAGCAGGCCTCTTCAGGGCAGGCTCCATCTGAGGAACCTCTGTCTGAGCAGACCCCTTCTGTACGGCCTCCTTCAAGGTAGACTTACTCTTTTTACTTGATTTACTTTTCAGAGATTTCTTCTTTGAGCTTTTTTTCATGGAGGTATTTTGCTTCTTATTTTCCTCCTTATTCTCCATTTTGCCATCACCCTTTGGCACTTCTTGACTATTTTTGGATTTGCTTTCTGATTTCTTTTTCTTTTTCATCACAGGTCCCTCCCCATTCACAGGATCATGCAAGGAATGGACTTCGGCTTCCATCTTTCTTTTGCTTTTCTTGGTTTTACAGGATTTTTCCAAATTATTTCCTGGGTGCACATCCACGTCTTTAGTCTCTGTTGTGGATTTGCGAGTTCTGGTAGTGACTTGGACCACTGAGACATTATTAGAAGGCTTTTTCTCTTTTTTCTCCACCTTTACAGGTTTTTCATTTTTCTTTCCAGCCATGTCTCCCTTTGCTTTTGTCTGCTCTGATTCTGATTTTTCATTGGTAACATTATTATCAGTCAAGTCAGCCTCTCGTTTTTTGGTTTTCTTTAGTTTCACTTTTGAAACATCCATTGTTTTGTTAGGACAAGTAGGATGCTTTGATTTGAAATGATACTGTAAGTTACACTTCTTGGAAGCTGCATAGTCACATACAGGGCAATTGAACTGCCGTGGGTTAACATGTAGCTCTACATGTTTTTTGAAGTTGCTTCTATCTGCTGTTTTGTAATCACAGTGAGGGCAATTAAGAGGTTTAGGCCCATTATGAACCTGTCTTGCATGGCGGGTAACTTCATGTTGATTAGAGGCCACATAACTGCACTGATCACATTTAAATGGCTTCTCACCTGAAGGTGAACAAGAGGTGTTAGAAAACAGTATAAAAGGTAAATCCAAGATTAAAATATACTTCAGAAATCAAAAATATAAAATAACCACAAAGACAATTTGTTGAAAAGGCTGCATCATGCACGTTACATTTACCATATTTATTTGTATAACTATTTTTATCCCTTAACACTGATTCTCAAATCAAGCAGAGGAATAACTGTCCCAGCCAACGATCCTCTTCAGAGAAGTTCAAGCTAAACTCTGATGAACTAGTAAAGAACAGTGGAAAATACAGACTTGGTGGCAAAGTTCACCTGGAAGCTGGGCGCTGGTGGCTCACGCCTATAATCCTAGCTACTCAGGAGGCTGAATCTGAGAATAGGGGTTCAAAGTCAGCCCGGCAGGAAAGGCAATGAGTCTCATCTCCAATTAACCACCAGAAAACTGGAAGTGGCGCTGTGGCCCAAATGAAGAGCGCTCACCTTGATCTGAAGAGCTCAGGGACAGGGCCCAGGCCTAGAGTTCAAGCCCCATGACTAAACAAAAACAAAGTTCATCTGGACACTGAATGTTATCTGAGGCTCAGAGAAAACAGTATAATAATCCCTCATGTTTAGGTATACAAATGGGAATGTAACAAAAAAAATTCCCAAGGCTGGGAAGGTTGCTCACTCAGTGGTAGAGTGCTTGCCCTGCATGCATGAGGCCCTGGGTTCTATTTCTCAGCACCACATAAGCAGAAAAAGCTGGAAGTGGCACTGTGGCTCTAGTGGCAGAGCTTTAGCCTTGAGCTCAAGAGTTGAGGGACAGCACCCAGGCCCAGAGTTCAAGCCCTATGACCGACAAAAAGAAAAAGAAAAAAGAAAAAGAAAATTCCCATCCACTTTTAAGGTAAATCTTGAGAGAAATATCTTTCATGTTGGGCTATATATGCTCTCAGGCCCAAGGCACAAAAAATTTTTAAACTGTGCTTTACCCTGAGGGAACAAAAGAAATAAAAGACTTTTTTTTTTTTTGGTACTGAATAACCCTTTTATGGACCATAACAGGTAAGTTTCATTCACTCAGCAAGGTTTTCCAACCCAGAGCTGCTGTTTAATAGAGGGATAATAAAAAGGTACCCAAGGCAATTATTCAGAAAATTTTATTCTTTTCCTCCTCTCATCTTTTCCATACAATGAACAAACTAGATAGTAAAATACAAATAGATATGGTATGTAACATAACCAAACCAAACAAAATTACAGATACACATAAAACCAGAACCACCCCCACCCCCACACTTAGAAAGATAAGAATAACACATTCTACCTCAATACATACCCATCTAGATCACATTTTAGCAAAATATTACCAAATGGTATCCATACCCCACTGGTCCAATGGAATGCATAGTAGAGAAATGGAAATTGACATTTATGAAAATTTATCTCTCGAACATTCTCAAATTCATATCATAAAAGTTTTTCATAAAGATTCAGCAAACCCACGTAGATGTTACACAATTAGAAAATAGTCATAGAGGGAAGGGGTGACACTGTCCAAAAAGAATACTCTTTACCTGACTTGTGTAACTGTACATCACTTTTATAGTAATAAAAAAATTAATTTCAAGGAGCAGGGAATGTGTCTTAGTGGTAGAGTGCTTGCCTAACATGCATGAATCCCTGGGTTCCATTCCTCAGTAGCACACACACAGAAAAAGCCAGAAGTGGCGCTGTGGCTCAAGTGGAACAGTGTTAGCTTTGAGGAAAAGAAACTCAGGGACAGTGCCCATGCCCTGAGTACAAGTCACAGGACTGGAAAAAAAAAAAAAAGCCGGGCGCCAGTGGCTCACGCCTATAATCCTAGCTACTCAGGAGGTTGAGATCTGAGGATCGCAGTTCAAAGCCAGCCCCGGCAGGAAAAGTCCGTGAAACTCTTATCTCCAATAAACCACCAGAAAATCGGAAGTGGTGCTATAGCTCAAGTGGTAGAGTGCTTTCCTTGAGCTGAAGAGCTGAGGGACAGCATCCAAGCCCAGAGTTCAAGCCATGCAACCAACATTAAAAAAAAAAAAAGCAAGGCTGGGAAGGTGGCTCAGTGGTAGAGCGCTTGCCTTGTATGCCTGAGGCCCTGGGTTAGATTCCTCAGCACCACATAAGCAGGGGGAAAAAAAGCTGGAAGTGGCGCTGTGGCTCAAGTGGTAGAGCGCTAGCCTTAAGAGATAGTGCCCAACGCAGAGTTCAGGCCCCACAACCGGACCCAAAAAAGCAGGCACTGGTGGCTCACGCCTGAAATCCTAGCTACTAAGGAGGTTGAGATCTGAGGATCAGGGTTTAAAGCCAGCCCAGGTAGGAAAGTCCATGAAACCCTTATCTCCAATTTACCACCAGAAAACCAGAAGAGGTACTGTGGCTCAAGTGATAGAGCACTAGCTTTGAGTTAAAGAGTTCAGGGAAAGCACCTAGGCCCAGAGTTCAGGCCCCACGACCAACCAAAAAAAAAAAAAAAAAAAATAATAATATTTTGAACCAGGTGCCAGTGGCTCACACCTGTAATCCTAGCTACTAGCTACTCAGAAGGCTGAGATGCATGGATCCTGGATCAAAGCCAGCCTTAACAGGAAAGTCTAAGAGGCTAATCTCACTTTAAAACACACACACACACACACACACACACAAAACAAAACAAAAAAAACAGCCTTAACAGGAAAAGTCTAAGAGACTAATCTCACTTTAAAATACACACACACAAAACAAAACAAAAAAAACAGAAGTGGAGCTGCTGTTCAAGTGGTAGAGCACTAGCTTTTAACAAAAAAGTTCTCTCTCATATGTACTACTGAGCTCAATAGTAGAACACTCCACCAGCCTAGCAAGCAGGAAGGGCTGAGTATACAACTTTCCCACTCCAAGGGGAAGGGGGGGGGGGGGGGCAAGATTGGACATAACTCTTTATGACAGCTTCTCCATGAAGATTTGGAAAAGAAACTTGAGGATGTCAGTATCGAGTACTAAGACACCTCAAATTTATTAGGCAGAAATGGTAATAAAATGACTAGCCAACTTGATAGGATGGTGTCTCTGCATTTTCACCAATATGCAATGCTCTATTATCAAACCAGTAGTGTGGTTCCTCCCTAGTATGGCCTGGGAAGCCCAACTTGTGGTAAGAAAGGCTCCAAGTAACCAAAAGACCAATGTGGTTTCAAATTGTCATTTTGGGACTGGGAATGTGGCTTGGTGGTAGAGTGCTTGCCTAGCATGCATAAAGCCCTGAGTTGGATTCCTCAGTAACACATAAACAGAAAAAGACAGAAGTGGGCTGGGAAGATGGCTCAGTGGTAGAGCGCTTGCCTTGCATGCATGAGGCCCTGGGTTCGATTCCTCAGCACCACATAAGCAAAAAGAAAAAAGCCGGAAGTGGCACTGTGGCTCAAGTGGTAGAGCGCTAGCCTTGAGCTGAAGAGCTGAGGGACATCACCCAGGCCCAGAGTTCAGGCCCCATGACCGGACCCAAAAAAAAAAAAAAGCCAGAAGTGGTGCTATGGCTCAAGCGGTAGAGTGCTAGCCTTGAGCAAAAGCTCAGGCACAATGTCCAAGCCCAGAATTCAAGCCCCCCCCCCCCCAGGGGGGGTGCGCAGGGGACCACACAGACTGTTACTTTGTCTAAAATGTATTAATTTAATAAATCTAACAGAGCCTAATCTCTAAAAACAAGACAGACTGAGCTGAGCAACAGAGAAAACACCCCCAGATAACTCCACACAACCCAATCAGATATAACCCATCTCACTTTATTGCAAATTCTGTCAGCAAGTTCTATTAAAAGGGAATCTGTTGGAGGATAGGTACAAGCAGGAGGGGGTTGGGCTAGCAAAGGAGGAGTGAATGGGGATGAATACAGGCAGTCTCTATTATTTGCATATATGAAAACATAACAATGAGCCAGGCACCGGTGGCTCACGCCTGTAATCCTAGCTACTAAGGAGGCTTAGATCTGAGGATCACGGTTCAAAGCCAGCCCAGGCAGGAAAGTTCGTGAGACTCTTATCTCCAATAAACTGCCCCCCCCATCCCTCCCCCACTAGAAAACTGAAAGTGGTGCTGTGGCTCAAGCGGTAGAACGCTCGCCTTGAGCTGAAGAGCACAAGGATAGCGCCCAAGCCAGAGTTCGAAGCCCCACAACCGACAAAAAAAAAAAAAAAAAAGCAACAATGAAACCTGTTGAGGTTGTTTTAAGGAGGTAAAGGAGGGTGATAGAGGGGGTGAAGTTGATGCGACACACTGCATATGTGAAAATACCACAATGAACCCAACTCCTTATACAACTAATATAGGCTAATTAAAAAAGAAATACATCTAGGGCTGGGAAGGTGGCTCAGTGGTGGAGCGCTTGCCTTGCATGCATGAGGCCCTGGGTTCGATTCCTCAGCACCACATAAGCAAAAAGAAAAAAGCCGGAAGTGGTGCTGTGGCTCAAGTGGTAGAATGCTAGCCTTGAGCTGAAGAGCTGAAGGACAGCGCTCAGGCCCAGAGTTCAGGCCCCACGACCAGACCCAAAAAAATAAAAAAAAGAAATACATCTAAAGTATACACATGACTGGAAATGTCATAAAAGCTTTTTTTTTTTTTTGTCATCAGGCTTGAACTCTGGGCCTGGGCCCAGTGTCACTTCCAGTTTTCTAGTGGTTTATTGGAGATAAAGAGTTTCATGGACTTTTCTGCCGGGCAGGCTTTGAACCTTCAATCCTCAGATCTCAGTCTCCTGAGTAGCTAGGACTACAGTCATGAGCCACCAGCACCTAGCAAAAGCTGAAAATTCAACATACTTATACACAGAAGTAGCTAATCCTTTTTTTTTGGGGGGGGGGGGGCAATCCTGGGCCTTGAACTCAGGGCCTATCCCTGAGCTTCTTTTGCTCAAGGCTAGAACTCTACCACTTGAAAGCCACAGTGCCACTTCTGGCATCCTTTGTATCTGTGGTACTGAGGAATCAAACCCAGCGCTTCATGCATGCTAGGCAAACACGCTTTTTTTTACCGTGGGGCTTAAACTTTGGGCCTAAGCACTGTCCCTCAGCAGTTCAGCTCAAGGAGAGCACTCTACCATTTCAGCCACAGCACCACTTCTAGTGACTCACGCCTGTGACCCTAGCTACTGAGGAGGCTGAGATCTGATATTCGGGGTTCAAAAACCAGCCAGGGCAGGAAAGTCTCTGAGACTCTTATCGCCAATTAACCACAAGAAACCTGGAAGTGGCCCTGTGGCTGAAAGCACTAACTATGAGCAAAAAAGCTCACAGATAGCACCCAGGCCCTGAGTTCAAGTCTTACAACTGACCACACACACACACACACACACACACACACACACACACACACACACACACACACACACACACACACACACACACACACACACACACACACACACACACACACACACACACACACACACACACACACAATTCAAAATTCCAGCCAACACTTAGCAAACCCAAATAAAACTATTGCAGGTGGTCCTGGCCTGTAATCAAAGCTACTCAAAAGCTGATAGTGAATACAAAGGATGGAAGACAGCCTGGGCAGATAAAACCAAGAGTCTTATCTCCAATTAGAAAAAAAAAAGGAAGTGGCGCTGTAGCTCAAGTGGTAGAGCACTAGCCTTGAGCTGAAGAGCTGAGGGACAGCACCCAGGCCCAGAGTTCAAAAAAAAAACTGGAAGTGGAGATGTGGCTCAAGTGGTAGAGTTAAGAGTAATATGCAAAGCTAGACACTGGTAGCTCACGCCTATAATCCTACCTACTCAGGAGGCTGAGATCTGAGGATCACAGTTCAAAGCCAGCCCAGGCAGGAAAGTTCATCAAACTCTTATCTCCAATAAACCACTAGAAAACCAGAAGTGGTGCTGTGGCTCAAGGGGTAGAGCGCTCACCTCGAGCTGAAGAGCACGAGGACAGTGCCCAAGCCCAGAGTTCAAGCCCCATGACCGACCAAAAAAAAAAAAAAAAGTAGCATGCAAATAATCCAAGACAGAGAGTCTGAGTTCAAGCCCATAAAAAACACTCAACTAGATGTGACTTCAACTGAGTCTCCCAGGGCAAGCATCAAAAATTTAATCTCCAGTTTATAAGTTTAAAGAAACAAAAGAGGGCTGGGAATGTGGCTTAGTGGTAGAGTGCTTGCCTAGCATGCATGAAACCCTGGGTTCGAGTCTTCAGTTCCACATAAACAGAAAAAGCCAGAAGTAGCACTGTGGGGTAGAGTGCTAACCTTGAGCAAAAGAAGCTCAGGAACAGTTCCCAGGCTCTGTGTTCAAGCGTCATATTGGCAAAAAAAAAAAAAAAAAGGAACAGAAGAAAAGCTAAATGACATCATGAGAAAGCAAGTAGACATAACCAAAAAAGAAGACATTCCACAAAGGAAAATGGCCTTATTTCTCACCACATTGAATTTACACAACACAGTTATAAAGACTAAAATGAGTTAACTCATCCTTGCCCATGCTAAGCAAAAGCTCACTCATCACAGCACTAACTGCACAGATGCCACCCAGACTTTGTTGATAGGGATCATGTCTGATGCTGTACAACAGTCCAATAATAATAATAATAATAAAGATTCCAAGGTACCTTTTGGAGAATGCTCTCAGGAAAGCACATAAAAGCAGTAATGTGAGATTCGGGGCTGGGAATGTGGCTCAGTGATAAGAGTGCTTGCCTAGCATGCATGAAGCCCTGGGTTAGATTCCTCAGTATCATAAACAGAAAAAGTCAGAAGTTGGTGCTGTGGCTCAAGTGGTACAATGCTAGCCTTAAGAAAAGGAAGCTCAGAGACAATGTCCAGGCCCTGAGTTCAAGCCTAGGACAGGACAGGACAGGTCAGGACAGGAAAGGAAGAGAGGAAAGAGAGGTTAAGTTCAAGTATATAAGCTCAGGAAATTCAGAAGAAATGCCTTTCATTAACATATTAAGTATGTAGTCAAGGAAACCAAGGTAGACAACTAAGAAGTTCATTCGTGTAACAGGCTAAGGAGGAAGGACTGCAGAGAGATGAGGGATAAAATAGGTTTTTGTCATATGGCCCAGACAGGCCTGAGACTTTTTGTATACTGCCATGCTGATCTCAAGCTCCTGGTTCCTCCTAGCCACAATACCCTAAGTGCTGAGATGAGTCATGGAATGCCATACCTGGTATAACAACTTGCTTTTAAATATAGCTCTGTATTAATATATTCTTAGAACCTTCGATCAGTTTCAAAATTATACTGAAAGAAAGCCATAAATGAATGGCTCAGTTCCAGACATAGAACTTCCTATGCTACAGCTGCAGCTCAGTGGTGGACTGGATGTACAGGATAGAACAAAGACAATCCCTAGCACAACCAAAACAAGGGGGGAGAGGCATTAAGACAGGAGGCAACTACTTCATAATGGCAGTTTACAACAACAAAAAATACAGTCCTGGGGCTGGGAAGTTGGCTTAGTGGTAGAGTGCTTGCCTCGCATGCATGAGGCCTTGGGTTAGATTCCTCAGCACCACATAAGCAGAAAGAAGCTGGAAGTGGTACTGTGGCTCAAGTGGTAGAGCGCTAGCCTTGAGCTGAAGAGCTGAGGGACAGCATCCAGGCCCAGAGTTCAAGCCCCAGGACCGGACCCAAAAAATAAAAGTAAAATACAGTCCTGCTAGGGGCAGGTGGCTCACACCTGTAATCAATCCTAGCTACTCAGGAAGCTGAGATCTGAGGATCGCCACCGTTCAAAGCCAGCCCGGGCAGGAGAGTACATGAAACTCTTATCTCCAATAAACAACTCAGAAAACCGGAAGTGGCATTGTGGCTCAAGTGGTAGAGCTCTAGCCAGGCCCAGAGTTCAAGCCCCACAACTGACCAAAAAAAAAAAAAAATACAGTCCCAATTTCTTACCAACCTGAGTGAGTGCGCATGTGTCTGGTTAGATGAGTCTTCTGAGAACTTGAATATGGACAAAGTTCACATTTATATGGGCGTTCTCCTGCGAAAAGATTATTAACAATGCAACAATAATCAGTAATAAACACTTTTTTAACTAAGTTACTCTTTTTTCTTATCTCTGACAGCACAAGATTTGGGGGTTTAGTTTGTTGTACAGGTACTGGCCCTGAATGCAGGGCTTCTCACTCATGCAGTTTTTTCACCTATGGCTGGCACTCAACCACCTGAGTTATACCTCTACTACAGGCTTTCTACTAATGAACTGGAGATAAGTTCAGGCTGGCCTCAAACCTCCATTCGCACATCTCAGCTTCCCAAGAAGCAAGGGCTATAGGCTTGAGCCACTGGGGCCACCAGACTAGGTCTTTTACAATGTATTAGAAATGCAAATGATTAGCAGAGGTGGTAGCTCATGCCTATAATCACAGAGGCAAATTCAAAGCCATCTAAGACTGCTTTGCCAGCAAGACCCTTTCGTCTTTTTTTCCGGAGGGGAGGGGGAAGGGTGTTCTAGTATTGGGAGTTTGAAATCAGGGTCTCCCAACATCACTTGACTTTTGGGTTGGCTTTTGGCTTGTTCGCTAAAAGCTGGCATTTTAACAATTAAGCCACACCTCCACTTTTGATTTTTACTGGTTAATAAGAAATGAAGGTCACATAGACTTTCTGCCTAAGCTGGCTTTGAACTGTGATCCTCAGATCTCCACCTCCTGACAAAGATTACAGAAGTGAGGCACCAGCACCCAGCTCTCTTTCTTGAAAATAAAGCAGAACAACAGGGCACTGACCAAAATGAACTAAGCAACTTAATGGCAGCGATGGGAGGGAGGGAACAAATGGGAAAGAGGGAACAGCTGATGCTATGCAAAACAAAAGAAATGTACATACCACCCAATGTGGAAGAAATAACTGTATGGCAAAGCTCATAGAACTCATAAATGTTATAGACCGTGATAGACAATTTGCTCCATGAAAGTTAGAATGTGTTTGTGACTTTTTACTGAGCATCACTATTCCACAATACTGTGAAATTTGGGAAATTATGTAATCACTTAATCACAATTTAAAAAAGAAAATAAAGCAGAACAAAATAAATTATTTACTTTAGAATTTATATAACTACATGGGTTCAACTCTGCTGACATCATTAGCTTTCTAAATTCTCTTTGTCCTATTTTCAATGATGCTACACATTACATTGAGATGCTATTTTCACAGAGTATTCAGGAGAGTTTGTTTTGTCTTTGTGGTTTTTCTGGGATAGGGCTTTCATCTGAAGATTCTCCTAACCTAAGCCTCCACAATGAAATGAACACCTGAATGGACTCAGATCTGGCTTCAAGGAATAATAACATTTATTTAACTAGAATTTCCCTTGGCTAGGGCCTGGGCACTGTCCCTGAGCCCTTGCTCAAGACTAGCCTCTACCAAATTTGAACCATACAGCTCCACTTCCAGTTTTCAGTGGCTAATCTGGAAATAAGAATTTCACAGACTTCCCTACCCTGGCTGGCTCTGAACTGCAATCCACAGATCTCAACATCTTGAGTAGCTAGGATTACAGGTGTGAGCCACCAGTGCTAGGCTTAGGGATGTATCTTAATGACAGAGCATACTCTATGCAATTTCAAGGTATTGAGTTGAAACTCCAGCACCAAAAAAAACAGATGTTTCCTGATGCTATATTTTGAGTAATTTTTTGTTTTGGTCAGTGATAGGGCTTAAACTCTGGGCTTGGGCGCTGTCCCTGTGCTCTTCAGCTCAAGGCAAGCACTCTACCGCTTGAGCCACAGCGCCACTTCAGGTTTTCTAGTTGTTTATTGGAGATAAGAGTCTCAAGGACTTTCCTGCCCAGGCTGGCTTTGAACCAAGATCCTCAGATCTCAGCCTCCTAAGTAACTAGTATTACAGGCATGAGCCACCGGCGCCCGGCTTTGAGTAATTTTTTTTTGGGTCCAGTTCAGGGCCTCGGCGTTGTCCCTCAACTCTTCAGCTCAAGGCTAGCGCTCTACCACTTGAGCCACAGCGCCACTTCCGGCTTTTTTCTTTTTGCTTATGTGGTGCTGAGGAATCGAACCCAGGGCCTCATGCATGCAAGGCAAGTGCTCTACCACTGAGCCACCTTCCCAGCCCTCCCAGATTATTTATAAAGATAAAAAAAAGTTAGAATGAACTTGTGACTTTGAAATTATGTAATCAATTAATCACAATAAAAAAAAAAAAAAAAAAAGAACCTCGGGGAAGGGAGCGAGGGAGGGGATGGTAGGAGGAAAACAATGGAGGGGGTAACAATGTTCAAGAGGAAGTGTACTCATTACCTCACTCATGTAACTGTAACCCTCTGTATAGTATCTTTACAATAAAAAAAAAAAAATTTAAAAAAAAAAAGGGCTCCCAGATTATTTATTTATAAAGATAAAAAAAATGGGCTGGGAAGGTGGCTCAGTGGTAGAGCACTTGCCTTGCATGCATGAGGCCCTGGGTTCGATTCCTCAGCACCACATAAGCAAAAAGAAAAAAGCCGGAAGTGGCACTGTGGCTCAAGTGGTAGAGCGCTAGCCTTGAGCTGAAGAGCTGAGGGACAATGAACAGGCCCAGAGTTCAGGCCCCACAACCGGACCCAAAAAATAAATAAATAAATAATCTGGGAGAGAAGGAGGGAACACATGACACTGTGTAGCAGAAAATGTACTCATTACCTGACTCACATAAATGTAACCCCTCTATGTATCACCTCTATAATAACAATAAAGTAAATTTAAAAAAAAAAAAAAAGAAAGAATGAATGAATCTGGACTGAGTGAAAACCTGCCAACCATGCGTGAAGGTACTGAGTTCAATTTCCAGTAGAAGAAAATAATTAAGTTAATTAATGACGAATCTATCATTTAAAATTGTTGGTCAGAACATGAGTGATAGTGGTATTGCTATAAGCTAAAAATTCACATAGTGGAGGCAACATTTATGAAATAGGTAGGTCATCCATATTAAATTATAAAGCCTTATAGACCAAGAGCAAATGAAGTTTATAGGTCAGTGATGCAGTACTAACGAATTTAATTAGCACTGTAACAATTACATGCCTCTACCCTGGAACTCAGAAGGCTGAGACAGGAAGACAAGTGCAAGGCCAAACTGTGCTACAGTAAGAGGCCCTATCTCAAAGGGGAAAAAAAGTTTAATTCTCAAAGGCAGGACCTGTGTGTATGTGGGCATGTGTATACACATACACTTTTTTTTTTCTTTTGTTATGGGCTGTGAACCACAAATAGTTTTTTGTTTTTTTTTAATGAAACCATTATCTACTCTTGCCACAAAATAGTAATTATGACATTGAGCAAATTACTTAACAATTCAGCTTCCCCACCTATGAAAATAAGTTATGTTCTTTCCTTTTTATTTTTGGTGCCATCCCTGGGGCTTAAACTGTGCTATGAACTGCTTTTTGCTCAAGACTAACACTTTACCACTTGAGCCACAGCTCCACTTCCAGGGTTGTTTTGTTTAGGTAGTTAATTGGAGATAAGAGTCTCTTCGAAGACTTTCCTGCCCAAGCTGGCTTTGAATTGCAGACCTCACATCTCAGCCTCCTGAGTAGCTAGGGTTACAGGATTGAGCTCCAACATCCAGTGGTAAAGTATTTTAGTGGTGTGATCAGGTCTGAGCTTGATCATATCCCAAGGGGAAGGGGGAGGCACATGCACTAGACACTATCATGTATCTAATATAATGGAACAACAAAAAGATGTCATTAGAAAAAGAATGGTGATGAGCCAGAGCATTCCCCACAATGACTCCATGACCATTAGTGGGTACTCTACTTCAAGCTATGGCAGGATTAAAATAATTAAATCACGTTAATATTTTCTGTAAAGATACTGATGGCCGATGAATCTCCTAATTGGATAAGGAATAAAGAAAAAATGCCTATCAAAACCACAAAGGAAAAAGAAACCATATAGTAAGGTGAAGATTTCATATCTACCAGGATGACTGCAAACAGGCATACTAACAGTATTGATGAGGATAGGAGGTATAGACCTCATACACTGATGGTAGAATTAAAAAATGGTCCAGAAAATCTGGCAGTTCCAGAAAAGTTAAGCATCAGTATAAACAGATGTCATAGTCCTGCAATTGCACCCAAAAAAATAAACCTCAGAGAAATAAAAAGGTATATCTATAAAGCTTACAGGTGATTGTTCACAACATCATTATTCATGACAGCCAAGAAGTAGAAACAAGCCTGGTGGCTCACGCCTATAATACTAGCTACTCAGGAGAGATCTGAGGATTTTGGTTCAATGTCAGCCTCCTGAATAGGTAGGATTATAGGCCTGAGCCATTGGTGCCTGGTCAAAAAGATTCTTTAATTTATTAAGTCCAGAGTCCGTGTCTTGCCTACATTAGTACTCCAGAAGCTAAGATCTGAAGATTGGGGTTTGAAGCCAGCCTAGACAGGAAGGTCCTTGAGATTCTTTTTTTTTTTTTTTTTTTTTTTTTTGGGGGGGGGGGGGGTCCGGTCATGGGGCCTGAACTCTGGGCCTGGGTGCTGTCCCTCAGCTCTTCAGCTCAAGGCTAGTGCTCTACCACTTGAGCCACAGCGCCACTTCCGGCTTTTTTCTTTTTGCTTATGTGGTGCTGAGGAACCGAACGCAGGGCCTCAGACATGGAAGGCAAGCGCTCTACCACTGAGCCACCTTCCCAGCCCTGGTCCTTGAGATTCTTATCTCCAATTAACTAACAAAAAGCTGGGAGTGGAAATGTGGCTCAAGTGGTAGCACACCAGCCTTGAGTAAAAAAGCCAAGGGACAATGCCCAGACTTATAGTCCAAAAATTAAAAAAAAAAGCAATTATGCACTAATATTAAAACCAAAAAATTAACCATTTTTTATTAAAAAGGTCATCTTGAAAGAAAGTGATCTCTGGCAAACACCTCACCATGATTTCCTATAGAATGGTATGCTTTTATTGTTACTATAAAAGTGATGTACAAAGGGGTTAAAGTTACATTAAGTCAAGTAAAGTGTACATTTCTT